TCCCCCCTAAAAATTTTGCGATTAGCTCCATAAACTGTACACAAATTCATGATCGCCTCAGTCCCCTTTAAGTTTCATATAAAAACAGCGGCAGACTTCGGCTCCTCCCCGTCTTTCAGTGCGTTCTTCAATAAGCTGACCGTGGCGGCGCAGAGCGAGAAACAGGGGGCAAGGTGTGTGTTTATCGATAGATTGTTATAATATCTGCAACTGTGCAGTTCTTTGTCATAAATACAGTTTACAAAATATCACGGGGGAGCAATCGGTTCCCCATCTACTGTAAAATTTCGCTGCGTTTCCTCATCACACTACAGCTGTTTCCTCCAGCAAAAATGAAACCGCATACTTTATGAAATGATCACGTTGCCATTTTCATTTGAAAATTTGACTTTCAATATAATATAATACATATTACAGTGCATGTGCAAAGAGGTTTGCATACTTGAGCTAAAGAAAGAGGGTTGTACTAGAAAAGCAAACAGTAAAATTTTGTATTTGTAACTACAGTAAAGTGTTGTTATACCTATCTAAGCAATACAGTGGAATACTGCAATAAGTTAAGTAAACCATCCCTATTAGTCAAACATTTTTTTATTTATATATTTATTATTATTTTTTATTATTACCCTCATTGGGGGCTGAGTCCCCCTAAAATGAAAATCCTGGACAGTCAGTGAGTGATTCAGTCGTCAGGCTGTTAGTGTGTGATGTTTTAAAGCCGCTGCTTCACTGATGACAGATATACTCCATTGTCTTCCTGCAGATTCATGCAGTAACTGCAATCTGATGATATATTCGGGCTTTTGTCCGCTTACACAAGCGAGAGGACGGCAGATTCAGTGAGCGCTGAAAGGAGAATGAGTTAATCTTCTATTCTGCGCGCATCAGGAGACACTGGAGGTGACAATGGAGACAGACAGCCTTGAAAGAGCCACTCTGACAGCAGTTCTCCAGAGCGAACCGTATAGAGGAGAGAGAGAGAGAGAGAGAGAGAGAGAGAGAGAGAGAGAGAGAGAGAGAGAGAGAGAGAGAGAGAG